GGAAAGTTGAAAAGTTGATACTTTAAAGGATTCAACTCGTTTCTTGCTCGTTGGAAAGTAGTAAAATAAGGGAACGAGGTGCACCTGAGCATAGGCTGGGGGAGTGGACATTCTCTTCTCAAAGCCCACAGAATCCCATTTAATTGAAAATTCCAAAGCTATGTCTTGCAATAACTGAACTTTCTTCTCCAGTGTGGAAGGCTTGGAAGCTAAATTCTCAACAAACTACAGAAATAGATTAGTGATTAGTCTCTCATTAAGAAAGATCCAGGAAACCTGAAGCTAGTTACTTGGATGTTACCTTCCGGTTCTCCAAATGTTCCACAGAAGTCCCAAACCTCTCCTGAAAGATTTGCCTGAGATCGCGCAATTCTGGCAAATCCGAAAATCTAGCAGCAGCAAACATTAGAGATGCAATAGCCTCACAACATTCCTCTGGACATTCCCTGTAAACATGGCAGCTAGAGGGAATCAGACGAACATAAATTATCAAGTATAAAGTCACAAACAAAATTTGTGTAAAATGATATAATCGTTCTTAGCCAGCAACTATATAATCGACCAGTGTAAGACGACATGAAGTTATCAACATGCTCTTAAGCCAGAAACTATATAATCGACAAGTGTAAGACGACATGAAGTTATCTACGTGCTTTTGAATGATATAAAGATATCCTCCCAGCTAATAAGCTATAAGATCTCACGTCAATTAGAGAAGGGAACGAGTAGAAACCTCTCCGACACGTTTAAAACTTTGAGGGGAAGTCTAAAAGGGAAAACCCAAAAAGGACAATATCTAGCGGTGGACTTGGGTTGTTACATGAGCTTATCCGTGTGGAAATCTAATAAGTAACCAGAACACAAGCATGATTCAATACCTCTGCTTTTGCATGATTGGAAGATGCTTCAACACAGTATCACATGATTGCTCCACGAAATCATAACAGGATGAAATTGTTAATTCAACTAGAAGCCCCTCAGCCTGTTTCACACCATACAAGCAAAAGCAGCAGTTTGTTTGAGCCAATTACTAGACAGATACCATAGAAGTCAGCATAATAATCAGAGAATCAACAACAAAGTTTCTGAATCAAACACCACATAGATATGGTTTTCAGGCAAGAACAAACACCGACGCCAAATAAACAGAATATTAATCCAAAAAAGAAATCATGGCCGTCATAAACTGCTTATTTGAGCTTACACCCTAGGAGAATTAAAACATTTAACAATTCAAACGAAGGAAACAATTGTGTGACAAGAAAAAAAGAATACCCTTCCATAAGCATTAATATCCAGCCCATTTGCGAGTAGATCAGCAATATCTTTCTTCAGAAATTTCAGTGTTGCTTTCTTCTTCCTCCGAATCACATCGATCCGACTTTTGGTCAATTTAATCTGGGATTTGCTACAAATATCAAGAAAACAAAAACATCCCTTGTTTAAGCTCTCAAGAAACTCAAAAATGAAAAGGAAACAAAATAGATCGGAATTAATACCACTTGGATGTAAAGCCTCGGCCGAGAATCCCATCCAACATCTTTGGATCTTGAACTACCTACCACTCTTCAAGCTAAATACCTCAGCCCCCAAATACATCAGCAAAGCTGGAAGGAAGAGAGAGAAAGGGGGAAGGGATAGAGAGAGAAAGGGAGGGAGTGGAGTAAAAATGAAATAACAGAGCTGGGGAAAGAAGAGGAAGACGACGAAGCTACAAACACTCCACGGTGCCAGAAAAGGTATATCTTCCCCAAGCCCCACTCAAGAGTGCCGTTCACTTTTTCAAAAAAAAAAAACTCTCCCAAATACAAATTCTCCAATTACAAAACTACCCTCGCCTTATCTCAAAAGACACAAGCCCTCCCTCTAACCTGAATTTTAACGTTGGATGGGTATTTTCGGAATTCAAATCCTCGTCTCGGACCTACCCTAAAAATCGGCGAGTAAAGATGAAAGAGGGAGAGATGGCGGCCGTTGGATGAGGTGACTTCGTCGTGGGGTATTGATGCTTAAGAAATGGGTTAATAAAACGGCGGCGTTTGGTCGAGCCGTGCTGCTGAGCTGGACCGCAGGCGCTTCACGCTTTTGGTGTAATTTTGATGATTTGGATTTCTGGCCTTTGTTTTAAATGTTAGGTCTTTTAACGACCGTTATAACGACATGTTGTGTTCTTTTTGACGTCGTTTGAATCAAACGACGCAACAAAACAGCTGTCGAAAGAATCTATTTATGTTTTTTTTTGTTAATTATTTAAATAATCTATTTATGCAATTTAAAGCTCATTTTTATCCCTTTTTACACGTTTGCATCAAATTAATGGCTTTTGATGCATAAGTATTACCATTCCCAATTGAAAGTATTAATTATTCCACTTTTTTTAATTAAAAAAATTAGAATTATTTGTATTTAGAGATAAAAGTTTAAAGTGACAATAATCAAATAATCAAATGCTTATTCAAAAAAGAAAAAAAATATATATATGGTCCCTTACCCAAAAGTGAAGTAACCCAATTTTGTATCTTATTTTTGCCTAATTCTAGCCTATGTAATATATCTTACAATATAAATATAATTTTCAAATTATATATAATTAAGGGTCTAAAACAAGTTTTTTTTATACGTGAGAATTCTCAATTTTTTGTACCGACAAACGTATTTATGAGAAAATAAATATCTTGATAGGTAATCAATGCGTTAGTACCAAATACCAAAAAATTAAGATAAAGATTACAACACTAATCAAAGTTTAAGATTGTACTACAAAAAAGATCTAATTTGATGCAATTGGAAGCGGGATAATTTAAATCTAAGACGAGTATTTCAAACCGAGCAAACGGAGCAGTGGAATTGTCCCATGAAACACCCAATAAGAAATGGAAAATAATGGTTGTATACTTCCGATTTACACATTCTTAATGAATGCAACTTAATATTTGTTTAAACGACAAACAGATTAGTTTAAAGCAAGATAAATGGCTTTATTCATAGGTGCATGAGGCAAAGGTCATAAAATATGGAAAGAAATTTGATATTAAATTGTGTAATGGTTGGGTTTGTGTCTGAAATAAAACAAAGAGTGGAAGACAGAAATGGTGGGAGCATGCGTGTCGGCGTCAGCAATAAGAACAGCCGACCACCGCTAAAATTGTCCAATAAATGATTGGAAATTGTTCTCCTTCCAAACAAATACTATTCTATTAATGTCAGTGTCATAAAGTATAACAATGAAGCAGGTCGTCGGCCGTAGCACCAACCTAAAACATCATGTGGTTCTAACATTTTTCAGAGATTCTATGATTCATTTCACAAACAAATGAGAAAAAAGAAAAGAAAAGAAAAAGAGATAACTTGGTCTGGTGGAAATGGATTCAACACAAGTCAGCAGAAGCTATGATTTTGCATCTTAACATTTCTCTCATTAATAAAGACATAGGACAGAGCCTAGACATGCGAGTGACATAATAAAGGTGAGTGAGGAAGAAGAAACCTAAGCATCATCAAAAGATTTAGAGAAAAATGAGAAATATTGATGTGAAATGACTCCCACGAACTTGAAAAGCCATTCAAAACAGAGTTTTGAAGTCCAAATTAAAGTGGGAATATGGTCTAAGACGTGAGATTGAAGAAGGGGAAGTGGGAGAGTGGACGCAGCACTAAGAAATTACGAACGAGAGAGACGCATTTGCCTAATGACAACAGAGAAAACAACAACCACAATATCGTTTTATTGTAAGGTTTAGTCACAATCAAAGTAGTTTTCGAAGTATAACCCTTCAAAATAGTGCTCCCAATGGCATCAGAAAAGCCATCTAAACTCGAAGGGAAAAAATCGAGATGGGTCTCTGAAAAAGATGTACCTTTTTCTTCAGCGTCGTCTTCTTCCTTCTTTCTTCTTTTTTTCACCAAAAGCACTTCAAAAAGTTGACAAGGAAATGGAATAGGTAGTTTTCTCGGTCAAGCAATTCATGCCGAATCAGTCTCTCCGAAACCATATGCTGAGGAAGAATGTCACTGTAAAAAAGCAAGGTTGAGACAGAGGCTGCAGGCTGGACAATTAGAGATAGTAGCAGCCTTACCAGTGACCTGAACAGAGTGGGAGTAAGATTCTGCGACCAAGAAGGGAAAAAGAGAAGGTTCATTGTTCAAAACCTGACAGCCGAGGATATATGGAAACTAACCCAAGTATTGAATATCAGATACCTACGTGTTGTTATCAAACAAAGAAAAGAAAAGAAACTGAAGAATCAAGAAAGATGAAAAAACTGGCTAATTGAAGTTGATAGTACATACCATGAGTTTGAATAAGAGAGGAAGCCAAAGCAGATGCCCTGTGGATGGATGATTCTTCAAAGGAGAGAAAAGCTGCAAATCATCAACTGCTGCCACTGGGACCTGCGCACTTTCAATATTTCTGGCAAAGAATGCAAGTTTGACTTGTATCCAAGAAGTTAGTTTGCAGCCAACGAATTTTTAAAGATGGGAATTTTCAAGTACTTCTATTATGAATCCTGCAAAGTGAGAGCCACTATATACTAAATAGAAAGTGGGTATCTATAAAGTCAAAGGCTACATAAATCCAACCACAAGCATGCACCAGACAAATTTATACTTACTCTGAATTACACAATCATCTGTCATTTAGCCATAGCTAATAAGGACGGGCTCGTAAGAAGGGGAAAGGCTTTTCACTAATAATTAATAATTGCATTCAGTCACGTTCTTGGAAAAACAACAAGGAGTCGCATTCAATATTAGTAATAATATATAAATAGAAAAGAAAAGAAACCAATTACAACAAATCGTTCTGGGATTTGTCATATAATAATGTGAAGCGCCCTGTGCTGACCTGCGACAGCTTCTAGAAATTTTCTCTGAAACAAAACTCAAATATAACAGTTGAAACATACTAACATTGTGACAGGAAACGGGTGAGAAGGCATATCATTCATCATAATTAGTCGTAAAGTGAACTGCCTAAAGTAGGGGTTGAAACTCCAGAGAATGGGAAGTCCTAAAAAGATTTTTAATTTAATATAGAATTGCAATATCAGTAGTAGCAGTCAAACATGTTTGGTTCAGTTGACTATCTCAGCTCATCGTCCCCTGGGGATATCTATTGCTTTCAGCCTATCAAAAAACAAAGTGAAGATGGAAAAGGGGAAAAAAAACTCAAGGAGTTCTTCAAAATCATCTACTGCTTCTCGGGCTCATCTGGATTTTCCTTGTCAGGATTTTCCTCTTCTTCCTCTTTTTTCTCTTCCTCCTCCTCATCCTCTTCAGGGGGATCACAAGGCAATGGTGGTGGCAATGGTGTTTTCATGGGGCTAAACTGAGGAAAGATGTCTGGCCTACGCCCTGGCTTTGGCCTCTCCCACTCCTGCAACCAAATAGTCAAGAAGCATTCAATGTAAAGAACACCAGCTATAGCCTACTCAAGCACTTCATAGACTTTTCTAACTAGTTACTAACCAAACTTCGTTTGTCAGGTAAGAACATCAGCAATTTCAAATTAGAAAACGAATTGACCACCAAAAAATGCGCCCTTACAAAAATGATTCAAGATAAATTTATGAACAACCTGATGATGTCAGTTGATTTTCCAAAATCATCAAGTAGAAACCCGGCAGAAGAACAGAAAACAAATTGAACAAACAAAACACCCCCAAAACTGAAATGGCAAAGTATCAATATAACTATTAAATTGCGCGACAAACAATCGTGAGGACTGCCAATATCTTCTTTCAATCTCAGTTCAACAACTACAGTGCAATAAGCATTTACCCAGTGCAATACAATCTACAAGAACTATCACAAATATGAGGTCAAAATATCCAGGCAACAAATTATGGCCCATTCTCATGAAATCTGACAATGCAAATAAGTAAACATTATAATGGTTGGTGCCCCTCGTCCAAAGATAGAAATCGCCCATTTTCAATTGAGCTCAAGGGATGGATACTTTCCATGGAAAATGCAGACATAGCCGAAACAAGCAGAGAGGTACAGTTGCAGGAAAAACCTGGCAAGATAACTCATGAACAAGCATTTTAAACAACCTTCAGAGACAAAATTTAACAACAATTATATAAAATCCTAGGAAATGCTCCAATTATCCACCCAACTTAATCTAGCAAATATACTAGCTAAGCTACATAAAAACGGAAAGCATAATCTCCATGAACGGGAAGCAAAAACATTAAAATCCTACAAAAAAGAACTCCATTACAAACCGAATACATCAAACACGCAAGGAAAATAAACGAGTGCAAGGGTGAGAAAGATACAATTGGGAAATCGAGTGGATTGCGACGAGTGATCTTCTCTTCCTCCGGGGCCATTCGAACCACATGCCTCCCCGTTCTCCTTCTAACAACAATCAAATTAGAAGTCGAAATGGGCTTGCTTGGGAAAGAGAATCTGCAGCCGCCAAAACAGCAACTATGGGTAGTAGAAGATGAAGAGGATATTGGTAGATAAGCCGCCGACGGTAAGACTAGGGTTTTAGAGCTGAGCAGGCATATCGACGCCATGATCTTCCTCTCCCCCAGAGGTAACGGGTAGGGTCTAACTGAATCTCCTGGTGGCCGATTCCACCGAAATCAAATAGCCGCCACAAGTGATGTCCGACTCCGGACCGCCTCTTATTTTCTTCTCCACAGCGCAGCGCGGCGTTTGTTCCACTAAATTATCCTTTGAATTTTATGAAATAATCGAATTCCGAAATTTCTCAGAATTATCGACTAAAATAAAATTGCATCCTTTTTATTTTTTTTACCGCTTCTCTTACCATTTTGTTAATTGTAAAATATGAAATAAATAATTATATCATTTAAACTTGTGTACTTTATAAATGTCTCCGATCTAGATTTCTCCTGGTTGTCTATCGCCTTAAGGGTATGACAGTGGTCGACACCAATCAAATCCCACAACAATAATAGACAGAGTGGTAAGGAGATAATCGACTATTAAGTGCCAACCGGCTCTCTAAATATCTTTGATATCTTTGACGGTTAGAGTCCAAAGCTTTGAATGAGGCGATCTCCCCTGGGAGGGACTAATTCCGGAATTATCGAAAATAAAACATGTGCCCCAAAAGATGCCTACCAATTTACCGAACACGAACCACGCCACTCTGTTCAATTCAATTCCAATTAATTGAATGCGTTCATTCGAGGCTACGTGGAAGAAGGGGATGACAAGGATGATCCAAGAATGAGGAATCCAATGGCTGAGATTTGGCTGTGACTTGGAGATGGTCACCGCGCATGGAAGTGGGCCACCACTACCACATACAACGTGACAGCCATCACCAATGTCCCACCCTTTACCCAAAAGACAAAACTTATACTTATTCTCTATATAATAATATATATTAATTTCTCTCACGAGATAGGAAACTCAAGTGGCACGTGATTCACTTGCCCTACACGCGCGAGTGGTGGAGCACAATATTTTTACGCCCAATAAATATACCAAAACTCCAATTATTAAATATTTTTCACGCATTTGTTATTAAATATTTGATATTGTTGGGAAAAATAAATGAATTAGCTACTTGGGATCGGCTACGTTCAATAATTTTATGGAATATTATTCGGGTAGAAAGTTTAAAACAGCCGGACCCCGCCACTCCCCGGTCTCCCTCATTCAAAATCGCGTGAAATACACTCGCGCTCTCGTAAAGTCTTCTCCCTCTCTGTACGTGACTGAGCGACTATTATTGTACTCTTTTTTTATTCTCTCCACTGTCCAGCGCCCACATACCTTCAAACACGCCCCCTTCCAACTTTGAATTCCGTTCTCATCGCCTTCCCACTTCTCTGTTTCTTCACCTCTCGGATTCCCCCGACACCCACTCCGATTGCCAAGATTCTACTCTCCCTTTCATTCCAGCCCCCTTTTACTCTGTTTTCACTCTCCAGATTGGTGTATTGAGTACTGGGTCTGGCTGAAGATAGGATGAACGCGACCGGGAGACAGATTTCAAGATCTAATCCCACGGTGCACCACAAGCGTCAGCATTCCGATAATGCTATTGACGCCTTTTACTCTTACGGGAGATCTAATCTTTCTCATGTACACGAGCGATTGTTTTGTTATTTGATTTCTGTGCCCTTTGTTGTAGGAACTGTGTTTCTCATTTTTTGTTCTTTGGGGTTTTAGGATTTTGGGTCGAGGGCAAGCAGGGGAATGCAGAGGAGTTTCAATGATCTTGGCTCTGCTGATGCTTTGACGCCACAGGCTCGGTCCCGGTCGTCGAGCATGAGGAAGAATGCGGATGAGATGTTGCTTCCAACCCATTACAGCCCTGGTCTCCTCGATCTTCATGCTTTTGATACTGAATTGTTACCTGAGGTTGGATTTGTTTCATTATTTTTACTTTTTTCTCTTTCAAATGCACATTGGTTTGAATTCCCGTAGTATGCGGATGCCGCTTTGCTATTTGTTAACGTGGGTCTGTTTGATGCCTTCTGTGTCTTTTGGATTAAGGGGTCTATCTCATTTCTCACGTTTTCTTGTTCTCTTTTGCGGAAGTACAAAACTAAGAAATTTAAGTTAGGGAGCATGCTTTGGTCAGTGTTTGATCCATTTTTCCAATTTAAATTGCTTGTAGTCCTGTAATTACTGAATCCTTAAAATTTGATTCCAGTTTGAGTCAATTGAATCATATAATTTATGGATCGGAATTGAGCCTTGTGATTCCAAGTTGGTTTCTCTTCATTCTAATAAAGTTTTTATGAAATTAAACATTGATGAACTTGAAGCGAATATAGTGAAATGGATGCTTTTAATTGAACCAAATTTGATCACATGGTATGTATGATTCCTATATCTAATAAAATAATACCTCTTTGTTAAGTTAATTATTGCTACACCCTCAACTCTTGAGGTTGTCCTTTGGGATTATTCCAATTGTTCTTGTATTGTTATTATCAATATTTGCATCAGTATTGTTCTAGATTCAGAATCCTGGATTGGAATGGCATCCAGAGGGGGAGCACTATCCTTTAAATTTTCACATGCTCCGAATGAACAAATTATGAATCTTGTTTATGGCTTCATTTTTACTGCGTCATTTACTTCATTTTGTCAGGCAGCTTACATTGACTCGGAGCCACTTTTTGCTGCCAGCAAGTTACCTAATAGGCCTGGAGGTGCATCTGACAATAATCTTCTCAAAAGCATCTCAGTTGACAAGGAAAGAACCAATAATGTTGCTAAGATCAAAGTTGTGGTATGTCTCTTCGATACCATCTTAATGCAGCTGTACTTGAGATAATAGTGCCTTCTCCTTTTATTGTACCTGTTTTTCCTCAAAGTGATATGAAAATGAAAAGGGTTGAAGAATAATTTTTTCTTTTTTGTTGTCTTTTGGTGAAAATGTCAATAGGCCGTGGGAGAGTTGTGATGGTCTACCTTTCCTCATAGAGCAGAGGGAGACTCTTTGAATTGAATCCATTATATAGTATAATTTTGTTCATTACAGGTTCGTAAGAGACCGTTGAATAAAAAGGAAATGTCAAAGAAAGAAGAAGATATAATCACGATAGAGCGAATGCCGAATTCCCTGACAGTTCATGAAACAAAATTTAAAGTAAGTGTCTGATCATTAATCACGATCATCTAGTTTCAATGTAGCAACATGTTATGTTTGAATTGCTTGTATGAGTAAGCCACGAGAGGTTTTTTTCTCTCCTAAAAAATATTGCATCTGCAGGTAGACTTGACAGAGTATATTGAGAAACATGAATTTGTTTTTGATGCGGTATTGCATGAAGGCGTTTCAAATGATGAAGTAAGTACAAGTCATGGATGACTACCATTTTGAAATGGAAAATCTATTTGATTTCTAAACATTCCCTTTTGTTGTGCAGGTATATTCCGAAACTGTGGAGCCGATAGTGCCCCTTATTTTTAACCGAACAAAAGCAACTTGCTTTGCTTATGGGCAAACAGGCAAGGTTTTAAATTTCATGCAATTTTGTAAGGGTGTTAGAAACCTAAGATTTCTCGTGGTAAAAGTATTTGTTCGTGCTGTTGTTTATCTTGTTTCTTCTCTGCTTCGTTCATTTCAATATACTTAACTCGAAATATATTGATATGCTCGTTCAGGTAGTGGAAAAACATATACTATGCAACCACTGCCTTTAAAGGCGTCTGAGGACATTTTAAGATTAGTGCACCACACACACCGGAATCAGGGCTTCCAATTATTTGTCAGCTTCTTTGAGATATATGGAGGGAAACTTTATGATCTCCTCAACGAAAGGAAGTAAGTTTGATGAGATTTAGCAGAAAATGTATGAATTCAGTTCATTTTCTTGAATGTATCATCATCGTGCAGAAAGCTTTTCATGAGGGAAGATGGAAAGCAACAAGTATGCATTGTGGGGTTGCAAGAATACAAAGTTTCTAATGTCGAGACAATCAAGGAATTGATCGAACGGGGAAATGCCTCAAGAAGCACTGGTACAACCGGTGCAAATGAAGAATCCTCCAGATCACATGCTATACTTCAGCTTTGCATTAAGAGATCAGTCGATAGTTCGGAAACAAAGCCTGCTCGACTTGTAGGAAAGCTGTCTTTTATCGACCTTGCTGGAAGTGAACGTGGTGCAGATACTACAGATAATGATAAACAGACAAGGTCTGAATTTTCTTTTCAGAAAACTAGTTGCAATTATGTAATGGACCTTAGAGTACTTTAAAATCAGTCTGATTTAAGAAGCAAAAGTTAATAGATTTTTCTCTTACTCTCTCCCTCCCTCGTGTTGTGTGATTGACTTGGAAATATTTGTGTTGCAGAATCGAAGGTGCTGAAATTAACAAAAGTTTGCTTGCTCTCAAGGAATGCATTAGAGCTCTTGACAACGATCAGGGTCACATTCCTTTCAGAGGCAGTAAATTAACTGAAGTTCTTAGAGATTCGTTTGTCGGTGACTCACGCACTGTTATGATATCATGTATATCACCGAGCTCGGGGTCATGTGAACATACTCTCAACACACTTAGATATGCTGACAGGTGCGTTCTTTTCTGAGATATTACAGTGGTATTTTCAAATATCTGTTAAATATGTTTTATATTTATCCCTTCAGGGTAAAGAGTCTATCTAAAGGGAGCAGCACAAGGCGGGATCCTCTATATTCATCTTCAAATGTTCGAGAATCAACGACCTCTCTGTTCTCGTCCTCATTACCCACCGAGCCATCCTATGAGAATAACAAAACTAATTTACCAAATGACAAGAACAGATTTGGTTGGTCCAAACAGAATGAAAGGGAAGCTACTCCACCGTTGAACGTTGAATGTGTTCCTAGCAACAGGGCAGACATAGCTTTGCCTCATCACAAAAGGCAGCCAAGCTTTCAAAATGACTTCACTGAAGATGATATTGGTTACCCTGAGCAACTATATGAACAGGAGAAATCATCATGGACGAACACCAAAATAACCGAAACTCGTCAAGTGCCAGGCTTTATCAACCAGAAGAAATTAATTAATGAAGCAAACCGAAGGGATATACCTTATGTCGAGACTGACTCTCATTCGGATGATGACCTCGATGCCCTTTTGAAGGTAATAATGTTGTGAATATTGAGCATCAAACTTTCACAGCAATCATCCAACTCTAAATGACATCCTACAACTGTGTCTTCACATTAGGAAGAAGAAGACCTTGTTACTGCTCATAGGAGACAGGTGGAGCAGACAATCGACATTGTCCGAGAGGTTTG